GCTCTGTCACTTTTCCCACCTTTATTTCATCATTTATCTTTTACTTTATTTCATCATCCTGGTCCTGATCAGGCCACAGTCGGTGCTCAGATGTTGGTTCAAACACACTAACGGAGATATGAGTGGGGCTGTGGGTGGTGGGAACAGGGGGGGGGTTGGCAGACAGACAGACAGAGTTTATGGTTGAAGTGGAAGTGTGCCTCCTCCCTCAAGAGAGACACACAGAATAGTTAACTTCTCAAGGAAGAACTGAACTGATCAGGAGAAACACATTATCATCATGAACATTTTATCAGAATTTTACAAGTGAAAAACAAACATTAAACATGTAGATAATAAATGCGTGACACAGTACAGAACTGTAAATATGTTTAATATTCCAGCAGAAAAGAAATAAACATAAATCATGTAATTATAATAAATAATTTGTCTCCAGTGATTAAATAAGAACCAATGTCTTGACACGCAGCTGCAAAATGAATAGAGAGTATTATTATGTACAAGGCATCGACTATAACAACAGGTTGGAATTACAGAATAACAGAAATAACTACTACATATTATATATAGTACAGCTTCTACTACTGTCATATTTCAACTTTATTTCCTTGTACTCATCATTTTATTGCAGCTTCAGTTGAATTATTATTATCATTTACTGTAACTTATACCAGCACAGCTTCATGCAACTTTTATAAGAGAATTAATCAAGTCATAATTCTATTATTGCAGTCACATCATGCAGGACTCAAACACGTGTCCTCTCTGTGTCAGAAGCCTTTAATTGTTACATACAAACAGTGTTTTCTGCTCTCTACTCAGCCGTGACCTTTCAGGTGAGCTCAGGTCCACAGAGCCTGTAAACTGACCTGGTGTCAGCTGTCTGTGGCTCCAGCATGTGTCTTATCTTTATGTGTTTAGTGGCCCTTATCAGCCCCGCCGTCCCAGCCGCTGCACATCTGCAGCAGCCTGATCAGATGAGAGAGCGGGAAGGTTCCCAGGTAATAAAAGCGGAAGGAGCTGCTTGTGTCGGGTCTGTACCTCCACAGCTCTGCAGCAGCCTCCCTCCGCTGAGGCCACCAGGCCAGTTAACCATGAGATAATTGATGCCTCTCTCCTATTGTTGTGCGGGCCTCGCCCACTGGCCTCAGAGTGTGGGAAAGCTAATCCTGCCTGGGACTCATGGCTTTGTAATGCTAATGTGGGCCTATAAATAGAGGAGAGGGCTCCCCAGTCACATCACAGCTCACTCTGCTCTCCACCAGGATGGCTCCAACCAACACCAGAGACTCTCCCATCTCAGTGCTCTCTACCAAAGACAGACACAAAGTAAGTCCTGCTCCACAGCTGCTCACATCACACTTTCCATCTCTGCACTGTGTTTCTTCATGAGCTCAATCCGCTGAATGTCTTCCTGACCGAGCTTCCTCTTCTCTTCAACAGCTGAGGAAACCAGTTGTGGAGAAGATGCGCAGAGATCGCATCAACAGCTGCATTGAGCAGCTCAAGGTCCTGCTGGAGAAGGAGTTCCACAAACAGGATCCCAACGCCAAGCTGGAGAAGGCCGACGTGCTGGAGATGACGGTGGTGTTCCTCAAGCAGCAGCTGCAGCCTCAGAGCCCCAGCGCTCACACGGCTCACAGCGACGGATACTCCCACTGCTGGAAGGAGACGCTGCACTTCCTGTCCCAAAACTCCCTGAAGGAGGCGACGCTGCCACACCTCCAGCACCTCCACGCTGCCCACAGAGCCGGCCAGGACGCCTGCCCCACGCCGGCCCTCTCCTCCCACAGCCACATCCAGGCTGCAGGGAAGCAGCCGCCCGGCCCTCACAGAGCCGTGTGGAGACCCTGGTAGAAGCTGCTCTGGAGCTCGGAGGGTGGATGTTCTCCATCAGGAGGAGACCAGTACACTCCATGCTGGACTGGAAACAGTTTTTAAAGCTTTGTTGCTGTAGTTTCTCTTGTGGAGCTTCTGTGTTTTTACAATGTAAAACTCTGACTGTGCCTTGTTTGTAATGTGACTCCTGTGGAGTCGACTCTTTAATGACTGTAAAGCATCATGTGCTGGAGGGGACTTCTCATGTCAAGTGAGTCTGACTGTGACCTTTTATAAAGGAAAACTATGATTTATTCTGAGATATATGAGATATTTAAAACAGTTTGTACCAACTGATATTTGAATAAATTCACTTTATTCTCTTTAAATCTTTGACTTATTTTCCTTTTTTGCATTTTAATTCCAGATGTTCATCATATACATGATCTATACACAATTCTCTTCATCATTTCTAATATTTACACATTTGATGACGGACATAATTGTAAGACATAAGATAAGAATATTTATATAAACTTTTTAAATTTCTAAATTGATGCATATTATCTAATGAATTTCACTTCCTCATGTGCTTCTTTAACCCGACCTCTTCCATAAAACCCTATCATGGCTGAAGTTGATGACAAATATCTGTAACACCTGTAGGATTCCTCCAGTCAGTGTATTTTCATGGAAAAGCCAAATCTTTCCTGCTGTTTTCCTCTGATGATGTCAGATGATCCATGGTGCCTCATGTACCAACTGACTTTTACTAATGTGAAGAAATGCAGCATCTGCCACTTAAGTAAAAGAGGTAATAACTACGGTGGCCCTGAGAGCTCAATGCACAATTCAAAAAAACATCTTCATCAATTTGACAACTTGTGCTACAAATACTGACAACACAACAGAAGTGTTTCGAGGGGACACAAAACAGTGACGGACCCGGCTGGGGTGCACTTGTTCAATGCCTCTTGACTTTTGAAGTTATAAGACGGCTCCCTGTTAGAACTGTTTGAAAATAAGCAAAAGGTGAGTTTGTTTGGTTTATTGTGACGTCAGTGTGGCATGATTCAGATATTATTGCAAATATGTTCTGTTAGCTTAGCATTAGCACATCTAAAACCTGCAGAGACTGAGTCTCTGTGTGCACATGTAGCTATGGTCATGTATGTAAAGTTCTTTTCATTTATGTTTGATTGACATAATCACATGAGACCGTTGGTTTGTGTTGCCTGGTAACAGCTGATTTGGATCCGAATAAACAACATGTAATTGTAGATTCACAGGGTTTTTGAAAACAAAGACCACAACATGTGTGTTCATGTGTTCAGTGTCTCTGTAAATCGGATTTTGTGCTGTCACACGTGCAGGACGGCGTCTGTCCACGGTCCAGCTCTGAGTGTGTGTGTCTGAGTGCGTGTGTCTGAGTGTGTGTGTGTCTGAGCGTGTGTGTTTGAGTGTGTGTGTCTGAGCGTGTGTGTTTGAGTGTGTGTGTCTGAGCGTGCCTGCTGAGGGGCTTTGTGTGCTAAGCCGCGGGCTGCTCTTGAGTGGTGGGCTCTGTCAGCTCTGGTTTCATCAAACAGTTGGTGAGCTGAGTTGCTGCAGGTCTGCTGGTCTGCAGGACCACAAGCCCGTAGGTCTGCAGGTCTGGAGGTCTGCCGGTCTGCAGGACCACAAGCCCGCAGGTCTGCAGGTCTGCAGGTCTGGAGGTCTGCAGGTCCACATGACTGCAGGTCTGCTGGTCTGCAGGGCCACAGGGCCACAGTGCTGCACGCCTGCAGGGCAACAGGTCTGAAGGGTGTCCCCCCTGTGTGGAGTCTGCCTCTCCACAGCTTTCCCACACTCCTCAGCCTTCCTCCCCCTTCATCCCCAGGACAAAGGAAGTGTGCCGTGTTAAATTATCCCCCACCCCCACCACCCTGCTCCACCGTGATGGTGAGAAACCTGACCATGCTGCCTCCCCCCTCCCTTCTCTTCTCACAAATCTGCCTCCAGATCTGGAGGGAAAAGTTGGCTCTGCAGCGTATTTTCATTGTATTTGCATGGTGTTTAGGGTGAAATATTCAGGAGATAAGAAATCATTCAATCAATCAATCAGTCAATAGTATAGCACTGTATACTGCTAACAATATCCTGGAGGAATTTCAGTTAGGCTTTAGGACAAACCACAGCACTGACACGGGGCTTACTAAAATAATCAGCCGCCTCAGACTGAACTCTGATGAGCTCTTTACTCTTAGTCCTCAGTGCAGCGGTTGATACGACTGATCATGATATAGACGTCCGCGGTGAGGTTGCTCAAAAGACATCATCAGAGAGCACAATGTATGTTTCCATAGTTACAACTGATGACAAACAACTGTAGATCTCGGCTGAACCAAATGATGCTGCAGCGATAACCTCCATGACCACGCTTCTTCCAGCAAAAAATAAATGGATTAGCAATACATTCTTGAAGTTGAATTGTTTTAATTATTTATTTATACATTTATTAATTTCTATATTATTAGTTATTAGAAGTCATTTCTTTGTTGTAAAGTACTTTGAGCTGCATTTCGCACATGAAAGATACTACACAAATAAAGTTTATTATCATTATTATTATTGTTATTAGCATTAGTAGTAGTAGAACACAGTGGTATATGGGTGTAGTACATAGTGAGACAGAGCTCTCGGTGCTGATGTGTGTGTGTGTGATGTGTGTGGGTTTGACAGTCTGTGTGGAAGCGTGGGAACTCTCTGCCCTGCGTGTGATGTAAGCAGGTGTAAGTCAGGCTGCAGGGCAGGTCTGCTTTCCCAGGTGAGAGCAGATGGGTTTACACACACCGCAAACACACACACACACACACACACACACAAACACACACACACACACATATAAATTAGGCTTAGAGCTCAGTGTTTTTGCAGAACATTTTAATAGCACAGTGAAGTCGACCTTTGACCTTTGGATATAAGATGTCATCACTTCATCATTTTATCCTTTTAGACACTTGTGTTAAATCGTGTCATAAATAGTGTCTGAATATATGAGTTACGGCCAAAAACATACTTTGTGAGGTGACAGTGATTTTGATCTTTGATCACTAAATTCTAATCAGCTCACCTTTGAGTCCAAGTTGAATGTTTGTGCCAGATGTAATGAAATTCCCTCCTAAGATATCAGGTTCATAGGGGTGGATTAGTCTCTCTTGCCTCCTTGATAAATCTGAGCTGGGGTCAGTTCTCTGTCAGGTTTCAGTTATCAGAGGTTGTAAGACACATGTAAGATATTAAAGCTGTGTCATGACGTGTTGGCTGTGCCTGAGTGTTATTTTCCCATCAGAAGTGGAAGAAGCGCTTGACTAAAAGTGTAAAGGTGAAAGTCCTGCAGTAAATATATTGGTTCTTTTTTTACAGCCTGTAAAAACAAAACCCTGACGTCTTTAATTCATCTGTCAAGCTTTAACAGATGATTTGATGCAGACTGACATAATAAACAAATAAGTTAGAATAAAGTTTGTCTTATTAGAAACTGCATGGACCCGAGCAGGTGGAGCTGATCTGACAGATTTATATTGTATTATTGTAAAGTATATTCTATAACATCAGATGCATCAGATGATAGACCCACTAGAAACTACAGCTATAGAATAAAATAAAATAAAATAAAATAAAATATTTCTCTCTGAGATGTAATAAAAAATAGAAAAAGGAAAAATTTAAGTGAATAAGAATTTGTACTTAATAAATGTATTTAGTTCTTTCCTTCATTTGACTTGAAAAAGTAAAGTCCATTCATATTTTTTCTACCACTACTTTTAATAAATCACCTAATGTTTCTCTAACTGAAAGTACATTTTTAATGCAGCACTTTTTATTCAAAACAAACTTTATGATATTCTACAAAACACATTATTATAAAAGTTTTTGGATCATAAAAGTAAAATTTAGCTCCTGAAATAACTGAAAAAACCCCTGAGAATAAATTATACAAACGTACAGCCCCTCCCCCCTCCTAAAGCACACACACGCACACACACACACAAACATGCGCGTGCTCTTGGCTAATGTGTGTGGGAAAGTGGAGAAAGCTGTAAACCCACGAGATCAGATGGTTTACACACAACTGCTCCTGTTATCTGATTAATGAGAGACGCCCGATCAATATCTCTCTGATCACACTCGGCAGCAGATTCACATGTTTCATAGAGATAACTGTGACAGCTGCTCACTGCAGGTCACTGCCTCGTCTACATTCATCATTTATACCTCTGGGACTGTTAAAGATGCCGTCATTGAAAAATCAGAAGGAAAAATTACATTTGGACAAGAAATCAGAGAAAAGACAAATATCATTTGCAAAAATCTTTATTTTGAGATTTCTCTTTTGAGACTACAAGTAATCACTTCTAAAGGATTTTTTTTACTTTTCCACAGGAAAAGTGTTTTTGTTTCCACGTTCAATCACTTTAACAAGTCGTCTGCAAACACACAGTGTCAACGAATCATTTCACAGCACGGTGATGCCTCCTGTGGAGCATCTGGAGCTCCGACACAGCCTTTACAAAAGGCATTAAACATACTAAAACACCATTAACAGACTCAGAATGATAATGAGGTTTAAGGCAAAGCTTTTGACAGTGTCTCTACACACACACACACACTCCTCGCTGCAAACAGGAGGAGGAATTACAGTAAAAGTGCATCAACAGAGCACAACCTGAACCGTCTGCCTCAGCAACAGGCAAACACTCTTCAATCTGAAGAAACACAAATGTCACTTCCACTCTTTTTCTCTAGACATATGAAAACGAAACATCCGTCAGATAAATCTTCTGGAGGTCAGTCTCCTCCTGATGGAGAACATCCACCCTCCGAGCTCCAGAGCAGCTTCTACCAGGGTCTCCACACGGCTCTGTGAGGGCCGGGCGGCTGCTTCCCTGCAGCCTGGATGTGGCTGTGGGAGGAGAGGGCCGGCGTGGGGCAGGCGTCCTGGCCGGCTCTGTGGGCAGCGTGGAGGTGCTGGAGGTGTGGGAGCGTCGCCTCCTTCAGGGAGTTTTGGGACAGGAAGTGCAGCGTCTCCTTCCAGCAGTGGGAGTATCCGTCGCTGTGAGCCGTGTGAGCGCTGGGGCTCTGAGGCTGCAGCTGCTGCTTGAGGAACACCACCGTCATCTCCAGCACGTCGGCCTTCTCCAGCTTGGCGTTGGGATCCTGTTTGTGGAACTCCTTCTCCAGCAGGACCTTGAGCTGCTCAATGCAGCTGTTGATGCGATCTCTGCGCATCTTCTCCACAACTGGTTTCCTCAGCTGTTGAAGAGAAGAGGAAGCTCGGTCAGGAAGACATTCAGCGGATTGAGCTCATGAAGAAACACAGTGCAGAGATGGAAAGTGTGATGTGAGCAGCTGTGGAGCAGGACTTACTTTGTGTCTGTCTTTGGTAGAGAGCACTGAGATGGGAGAGTCTCTGGTGTTGGTTGGAGCCATCCTGGTGGAGAGCAGAGTGAGCTGTGATGTGACTGGGGAGCCCTCTCCTCTATTTATAGGCCCACATTAGCATTACAAAGCCATGAGTCCCAGGCAGGATTAGCTTTCCCACACTCTGAGGCCAGTGGGCGAGGCCCGCACAACAATAGGAGAGAGGCATCAATTATCTCATGGTTAACTGGCCTGGTGGCCTCAGCGGAGGGAGGCTGCTGCAGAGCTGTGGAGGTACAGACCCGACACAAGCAGCTCCTTCCACTTTTATTACCTGGGAACCTTCCCGCTCTCTCATCTGATCAGGCTGCTGCAGATGTGCAGCGGCTGGGACGGCGGGTCTGATAAGGGCCACTAAACACATAAAGATAAGACACATGCTGGAGCCACAGACAGCTGACACCAGGTCAGTTTACAGGCTCTGTGGACCTGAGCTCACCTGAAAGGTCACGGCTGAGTAGAGAGCAGAAAACACTGTTTGTATGTAACAATTAAAGGTTATAATTAATCTAATGGGAACTGATATGAAGATGTTCCTATTCTTATAGGTTATAAGGTCAGTTATAATATAAAATCTGTCTTCACAGGATAAAGTTATATTATATTATAAAAATACACATTAAAGTCAATTTAAAGACAATTGTTCACAAACAATTCACTGTTTTTATCTTTAATTTTCTCTGCTTCACTTCTGTCACATCATTTCACAAACTAAAAGACAGAGAAGGAGGGAAAACTCTGAGATTTGGAGGGAAAATGTCTTCAGAAAGTAACTGTCAATTAAACACAATTACCCAGTGTCCTCTGGGAAGGCACACTTCTATTGTGTGACACCTCCTCCTCAAAGAACCCCCCCCTCCCTCCCTCCACCACCACCACTTACCATCTCCTCCTCCTCTTTCACTCACCCCTTTAGAGAAATATGTAATAAATGGGAAAAGAGATGTGGGAAAGGAGGTTGGGATCCTGCTCACACACATCCTCCGGTCAATAGAGCCCCACCTCGCCCCCTCCCCCACCCCCCCACCCCTCCACCCACCCATCCACCTATCCACACAGAGCCTTTCAACCTGCAGGATCAGATCAGAGGCTCCGCTGAGCCGGGGGACGCGTGTGGGATGTTTCTGTGTGTTTATACTCACCTACTGATTACACCTCCTCCTCCTCCTCCTCCTCCTCCTCGTCCTCCTCCTCCTCCTGCAGCCCTCTCATAAACCTCACATTTGGCTCAACACCTGCTGCCAGCGGCGGAGGAAGTACTCACATCATTCACTGAACTAAAAGTACCACTAGCGTAATGTAAATATACTCACTTATGAGTAAAAGTATCATCAAAACCATTTACTGTAGCTATGAAAAAGTGCATCAGCAGCATCTTTCTGTACGGTCTCATCCACAGACATGCATTTTCTTATCTTTCTTATTAGTATCTATTGAAATAAATGTAGTGCAGTAAAAAATAACGCTGTTGAGTAGAAAGATGGAAAGTAAATTACAGGTACCTCAGAATAACACTTGCAAACATATTTGCAAACATTTCTAAAATGTGCCAAATAGTGAGCCTTTATTTATCTGTACTGTTACGCCTCATATCGCTTTGTTTTCTCCATCATCCAGCATTTGTTCCCGTCTGCTTCATCACATATTATTAATATATTATTGATATTAACCACCGTCAGCATCTTAATGTTTAAAAAGTTTCATTTGGCAGATCAAATTATGGCAGATCAAATTATCATATCAAATGACCAAATTCATCCTCTAAGGCCTTGGCAATATTTTTTACCTTGATGTGTTTCACACTTTACAATAAGGCTCCTTTTACCAGTTATTAATGGTAGTAACTCATTACTAAGATTAATGAGTTTAGCATTAACTTGAAACCAAATAGTGAGCCCGCATCAATGTATGAAAACTGTGATTGTTTATTATTTATGATTTATAAAGTGTTAACCGAATGAATGACCTAATTATAACCCATTTATAAATCCTTTATAAGGACAGTTGTATTGTAAAGTGGTACCAAAACATGTTTCCACTCTGTCAGTCAGTGAACTGACAGAGTGAAACTGAGTGAAGACTGATGGGAAAACATGGCAGGTTTATCCATTTACAGTTAAACCTACAACAGAATACAGTGAAGCTGCTTTATACACCATGTATTTTCAGCTGATAATGTGTCTGTACTTTTACTTCATTAGGTTTTAAATGGAGGTCTTTGACTTGTAATAGAGTATTTTTACATTGTGGCATTTTGAGTTATTGAGTTATTTAAGGACATATAGGTTAACTTTGTTTTTGTTAAGTGACTTTTAACATCACAGAGAAGAATGTGAGATGGTTGCCCTGAGCGAGGGATGAAATCACAGAGTAATTTGGATCCTTCACGTGTGTTAATGGCCATGAAAGTGTGAGCAGAAAGAGGCAGATGGTGCAGTCTCCACTTGGAGGGAAATCTTAACGTCCCTTTTCTTCTCCGTTCCTCAGGATGCATTTCCCAGAAGTGAGTCATGACACAATATGCAAATGAAAACACATCATTTGGCCCATAAACACATTCCAGTGTGGAACCCCCCCCCACCCCCCACCCAGTTCAGAGAAAAAAGCCTCCGAGTGCCCCCCTGCCACACACCCACATACAACAACACACACTCCCACATGCACACGCCAAACAACATGTCTCCATGGCTTTGAGCCCAGATACGTCAATGTGTGTGTGTGTGTGTGTGTGTGTGTGTGTGTGTGAGGACCTCTCTGCACTCAGGAATGTGTGAGAGCTGCGACCAGCTCCTCGTTCCCACACTTCAGCCTCCATTCAGGGCAGCACCCCACCCTGCGGCAGCCGCCACTGATCCTCCAGACCCTCATTATACCCCGACCTCAATAGACCATCTGGACAGCTGCTGCACACACACTGACAGTACACACACACACACACACACACACACACACTGACAGTGCACCTCAGAGGGAGCAGGTAGATAACCAGAGGAGAGAGGGAAGGTCACAGAATATTCACTCACCTTTTATTTCATGACACAAAATGAGACTAAAACTAAATAAAAAGCAAAACATTTTTTTTTTATCAGCAAATAAAAACTAAACAATAATGTGACAAATGAAATAATGACCATTAATCCAGCAGCCAATAATAATAACATCTGCTGTTCACAAGCTGATTCATCTGTTTGATCCAAAGAGGAATCTTCTTCCAGTATCCCTCTGTCTCTGTCAGTGATGTTCTCTGACATTCTCTGAAGAACCAGATTAATGGGTTAAATTCATCTAAAGTCGACTGACAATTAGACAAGACAACAAAACAGCTGAGACCAAATGAACACGCAGGTAGCACGAAGACATTAGAAAAAGCTGAGCTAATGTAGCATCATCAGGTGCTGCGATCAGAAGGAGCGAGTGCATTCAGGTCTAATTTAACATCAACAAACATCTGTATCTTACCTTTGTAATGCTAACGCCAAGCTGGGTGAGCAGTGAGCAATTCTCATGAGAACTGGATTTACTGAGGGGAGTGGTGCTGGGGTTTGGATCCAGCATCAGATCCACATCAGATCTGAATCTTTTTGAGTCGTTATAAGTTTAACTTTAATCATTTAAGTTGTAATTAGCTTCAGGTCAAAGGTTCAGTTCAGATCTGGGATCAGCGGAGAACCTACAGCTTTAAATGAATCAACAGTAACATTAATGAAGCAGCAGCAGATCTGAAATACTGATCATTTATTAATTTGGCTGCTTTAAATTTATGAAGTTCTCTCTCTCTGTCTATTGCATCAACCGAAGCAGAAGATAAATCACATTAAAAAAAGTGGCCTTGGTGTCAAAAGAAGACACTTGACAATGGCACCGTTTTCCCGCCATGAGAGGTTTTTCTGTGTTAAGTCACATCACATGTCCCAGGAATGCTTTTTACACAGGGGTCAGGCTTTTCCCAGCTCTTCTGTGAGGCTGCTGCAGTCACAGGGACACTTGTTGATACTTTGTAGTGGAGGGGGGTCACTAAGAGCACCTGCCCCCCAGCTTTGTGGCTCGGCCCTCAGTCAAAGCCTGGTTCATCACAACAGACTCAGGAATGCTTTGTGCCCCCTTTGTGCCCAGTCTGCATGGAGACGGGAATAAAAGTGACCTGTGAGGTGGACGGTGAAGAGCGAAGAAGAAAGACGACCTGTGGCGAGCGATGCAGATGAGTTAGATGGAAAATAAGAGCTATCAAAATTAGCGGTTACAAAAAGTAGCATAAAGGCAGTGACTTTAACGGTGATATAAACATCCACATATTCATCCCATCTGTCACCAAAATCATTAAAAAATACTTAAAGTGAGAGCCAACCTGTTTTAAACCTAATTTCCATCAATTTGAATATGTAAATATAATAAGCTTATAACAGAAGAACTGTAAGCCCAACCTAAACTACATCGACTCATACCTGGTATTTTTTTAGTATTTTTCAGTCCTCGCCTGTAAAAAAAAAAGTCATATTAACATAACTACCAACAGGATATACTTTATACAAGAACAAAACAAGTGCTCCACAATACTTTTATATCTTGTGAGAGACTGCTCTGTGAAGCCTCAAGGCCTCTGGGCCTAGTAGTTTAGTTTAGTAGAGCTTTATAGTTCATTTTTTCAAGGGCGCCCATAAACCTCTCTAAAAGGAAAACTGAGAGAAATGTGCTTTAACGCTTTAATATGAAGTAATAGAAAACGTATTCTTTCTCTATTTTATTTACTGGTGGTTATGAACCGGTTTATGGATGTGTTATGGATGTGGGTTGACAGTGAATGTATTTTGCATATGGCGATGAAAACAATATAGATATTAAATGATTGATATTTACAAATGAAATATGAACATGATGTAGCAGAATTAAGTTGTTTTACCACTAATAATAATAAATAACATAAAATAAAAATTACTTTCAGGTACTGTGTAATCTTATTGTACTTTGTTGCTTTTCTCTGCTGTGTATAAACATGTTTATTAAAATTTAATTTAAAGAAA